CTGTTACTCTTTCGCATTCATCGCTTGCATTCACTTTTTATGTTTGTGACCATGCTCTTCAAAAATAAAAAATAAATGATAAAATAAATGAGATGACAAACCTTCCGTTTGCTGCTATGATGGCGGTTTGAAGTATATTATGGGCTTGAAAACTGGCACACAATGTTTTTCGCCTTATAGTAACTGATGAGGATATTCCGGACCCATCACGTGGAGGGCTGGTCAACTGTTTTTGACAATAAATAATCAATTAATCTTGAAGTTTTTTTTCGTGTTTTCACATTTATCCATTGATTCAAGCCTGTAATGTCACTAAAATGTATGCGACATTGACAGTTTCGGTCTGCATGCAATATAATTTGGTTGTATGCGTTTTCACTTATTCGCCTAATTGTCCCTGTCACAAATGTCACCGTGGATTGCTGGATGCAGTTACATTCATGCTCGAAAATGCAAGCATCTCAACACAAAGCCGTTCTCTCCCATCCACATCTCTGTCTGCATCTTTGCTGCTAAAAAAGAGTTTAGGTTTCTACACTTTCGACCACAACTTTCTGAGTTACTTAGTTACTCCGAATATACGTGAATTAAATGAAGATGTGCAGTTGTTAACATTCCTAAGAAAGAGACCTATTACTCGTGTTGTCCTTACTGGCCGTCTACCATGAGCCCTTGCAGTCGTATAGTTCGCTTGTACAATGTCTTGCGCCCAATCAAATGAATAACATTTTCGACACATTGTGGAATCACTATTTACCTCTAATGACCCGATCTCATTATCGAACAGAGTTACCGTAATGTATTTCAGCTACTCCTAAACGATTGCTGGAATATGATGTTCAGTGTCAAAATTGACTCATTAACTAGTCCAGTATCCCTGAGTTTTCACGAGCTGCAACAAAGCTGTAGAGAGTTGGACGGAAAATAATCATTGTAAACTACGTATATCCACAGGTTATAGATACCGTGCTGAGTGACAGTCCTTAGCCAAAGCAAAGTCGGTGAAATTAAACACAAGGGTAAGCTTAGCGAATATGCACTCATTTGCAAACTAATTTGGTTCTTTCGAGAGACTCACCTGGAACCCAGCTGAATCTCTCGTTTATGATGTTCTCAGGCAACTGAATGTGCTGCACCAGGCCGCCTCATGTTTCAGTCGCTACGATATTTGAAATATCGCGATACATGTATATCTTTGT